ATAGATGCACCAGAGTTAGTTTAGTCATTCACCAGTTGAAGGATGTTTGAATTTTTAACTAGTTTTCGGCAGTTATAAATAAAGCCACTGTAAACATTTGCTCACAGGTTTTTGTGTGAACACAGGTTTTGGTTTCTCTTGAGTAAACTAACCTAGGGAAGGGTTGTATGGTAAGTGTATGTTTACCTTTATTAGAAACTCAAATTGTTTTCCAGAATAGTTGTGTTATTTTGCATTTCCATCAGCAATGTAAGAGAGTTCCAATTGTGTGGTATCATTCCCAGCACTTGGTATTGTCCTTTTTTTCTTTGTTAAATTTAAGCTACTCGGAAAAACTACGAAGAATCTCAGAAATCAGAATAAAGATGTTTACCTTCAACCTATATTAAGCTGAAAGCTCTTGAAGGGTTTTACACATGGAAATGACATTATTTGGGGTTTGAAATGTTTACCCCAGCTGCAGTCTGGAGAATGACTTGAAAGAAGGAAAGGTAAGTGTGTGAAGACCTGTAGGAGGATATCATTTTAGTTAGGGGAAAGGGAAGACACCTTGACTTGAAAGGGGGCAGTGAAGATGACATGACTTAGATGTGAGAATTTTTTAGGAGGTGGAGTTTATAGAACTCAGTGACTGATCAGATGTGGGACTTAAGAGAGTGGCACAAGTGACTAGATATATAGTAGTGCCTTTACTGAGCTAAGGAAAACTGACAGGGAAAAAGATTCAGGGAGATAAAGTCATCAGTACAGTCTGACAGAGATGTGAGGCATCCAAACGGAGGTGCCAAGTAGGTAGTTTGATACCAGGGTTCTGGAGAAGGGGAACACAATTGAAAGTCAGTGTGGTGTAAAGAAAGCTGATGACATGGAGGTAGATGAGACTCCCTAGGGAGGCTTTTTAGTGATCTGAGGAAAGTGAATGGGACAGACCCAAGGAGACCCTCAGTGTTTAATGATGGGCAGTAGACAGACACCCAGGGGAAACTAGTAGAGAGTGGGTTCAGGAGGTTGGAGAGAGAGAGAGCATTTCAGACAGTTGTCCTCCAGATGCTGAGGTGAATGAAAAGTCACTTGTGTGCTGAGTTGATGACTAAAATGAGGGATGAAACGTGCTGATTGGATATATCAGCATAGTGGACACTGGTCAGGGGTGGTGGTGCTAGTGTTGCTGTGTATGAGAAAATCATATTACAGTGAGTTGAGGAGTGAATAGAAAGGGAGGCAGTAAAAAAAAGCAAGGGTATACAGTTCTTTCAGGAATTTTTAGGCTGATTGTTTGAAACATATGTAAGGACATTTTTTAGTGTTTGTTCAGATGAGACAGGTTGGAGCGGACCGGTGAGAAGGTTGAGGCAGCGGATGCAGACAGGAGAAGCAGCGTGGTCAGTAGAGAGATATGCACAAGGCACGAGAAATGCCCACCAGATCTAGCAGACTTGCTGAAGAAGAGATCCACCTGAGTTTAATATTCATCGTTATGCCCTGTCAGCACAGTAGAAAGGAGGCTTTTCGTATTATCAGGTTCTAAGGGACTCAGTCGTAGTACAGTCCTTACAGTTATTTTTCAACTATTTCTAGACAACTTACCAAGCAGCAAATGTCAGCACAATTCTTTGGATGTGTGAAAATGCTCTGGCGGTTTAGTCACTTGTCAGTCTCCTGTCCAAGCCTTGCCCATCTGTCATGGCCCAGTTGAAACCCTCAAAGGAAAGACTCTCCCTCTCTAATCTGAATGGTCATAGCCTGGTGCTTTTTTTCCTCTATTCTGGCATTTGTTCTCATATGTATTTGCTCTGTGTGTGTGTGTGTGTATGTGTGTGTGTGTGTGTGTGTTTATTCTTCTCCTTAGATGTAGAAGACAAAGACCCTGACTGAAAGGTGTTATCTTCTCCACAGCCCCTAGCCAGTCACATTTATTTAGCTTGTTACTTTAAATGCATGTAAATGTGAACTTGGGGAGATGGTTCTTAGCAGGCAATTAGGAGGAATTATATAAGGAAGAATAAGATTTTTTTGTGTCTTGGCATCTGAATTAATAGCCTAAAAGATTACAGTACCTTATTATAACCTTTTGTTTTTGTGAAACTTAGTAAAATATGTTTTGAAAGTTCCCTGTTATGTGCCATTCAGGAATCAAAGGATTTAGTAATAATAACAGCTCTTAGGTGGTACTTAACAGTTTGCCAACAACTTTCGTATTCCATTCAGACTGCAGGTAACTCAGAGATGTAGAGACAGAGACATCACAGGGGTTTAATCCTGTGCTGCAAATGAAGAAACCAAGGCCCAGAGAGATGATGAATCAAAAGTCACATTACTGGTAAACGC